AAATTAATGCGAGTTTTCTCATAAAACTAAAAGCATGAACCAAACTAACATGCCAATCACGATTATTATGAAACGAAACACACCTTTTACACGCATATTTTAAAGAATATCGTCGACGCCCAGTAAAAACACTCTGGGCTTATAATCGTGAATGCCCTCAACTCGATAAATACCAAGTAAAAACATAGGGATGGGCTTCATACTCGGGATGGGCTTACGATCGGGGAAGTACGGTACTTTAACGCAATTGGGCTTTCACTCTCAGAATACTGTGGTTCAAACGCATAAGGCTCTAACCCAAGTTTTAAAAAGCACATTGTGCATATAAAAGTTGAGTTTATACTAATAGTACACAATGCTTGGCAGCATGAACGGCTATGTACAATGGCGTAAACGAATGCGATCAGATACTAAAACGTCATAGCTTTGAAAATTACCCGGATGTTAAATATGTTCGTTCGTTAATTGTTCCCCTCCATGAATGGCCTCCATGGCAAGCACTTCAAATGCCTATCCAAGCTACAGTTATAATTAAAACAAAATTAAACCACTGCAATATTATTTCGAATACAGTTTAGAATATACACAACTATAAATTAAGGCCGCATTTAGGTTCGCTTTAAAGACATCCAGGGTTAAAGACATCCAGGGTTAAAGTCATCCAGGGTTAAAGACATTCAGGGTTAAAGACATTCAGGGTTAAAGACATTCAGGGTTAAAGACATCCAGGGTTAAAGACATTCAGGGTTAAAGACATTCAGGGTTAAAGACATTCAGGGCTAAAGACATCCAGGGTTAAAGACATTCAGGGTTAAAGACATCCAGGGTTAAAGACATTCAGGGTTAAAGACATCCATGGTTAAAGACATCCATGGTTAAAGACATCCAGGGTTAAAGACATCCAGGGTTAAAGACATCCATGGTTAAAGACATCCAGGGTTAAAGACATGTTGATATAAGGTATATATATGTGAGCAAGATGATATATGAGGCTGATTTATACTAGCACATGTTCTTGTATTGCACTGGTTCTAACATCATTTGCAGAACTTTAATTTCTGCACAATAAAAAGGGCAAACCACTTTCAAGGTCAAAAACTCTAAATATACTATATTGAAATATCAGACTAATTCGAAGGACACTCAGGTGACACATCCAAGGCCATCCTCAATGGCATCATGCCTCAATCATGGTTAGCTCCATGCCTCAATCAAGTTTGAGACTTGATATGGAACACATATGTAGGATCTGACTTTGTATATTTGTTGTACATTGTCAAACAAAACACCATTGATTGGCATATTAACTGACAAGTTTGCTCACGTAGATAATTCAAAAGGCAGTGATGGTGTGAAATTTATGAAAACAAGCAATTAAAAAATAGTACACATTAATGTACTGTGTGTTTATCATCACCATGGTGACTGTACAAGGTGTGCAATTTAAAGATTAAATGCACAGCAGATGTGTAGCACAATCATACTGTGAGGAGGCTACAACAATGGTATCAACTGCGCTATATATTTTGAGAATGAATATTCACATAATGCAGTTGGCAGTGTACCCACACAGCAAAGATAAATGCATTAACCAATCGTATTGAAGATATAAATGTTGTAGATATGACATCATTATTTGTCATCATATACATTTGTAGAAAGGTACTCAGTAGTGGATGAACAAAAAATACTAGGTATATAGAAGAAAATAT